GTATAGTTGAGGGATCAAAAAAGTGCAAAAAATTGTTGAGGGACCAAAAATGTGCAACTCACTAAAGTTGAGGGACCAAATTTAACATTTAACCTTTTGAAAAAAAATTCTATAAGAATTTCATATTCAGCCTATTCAATAATTCTTTATATTAATTTTTATATTATTTTTTATTAGACACAATAAAATTAATAATTTAATAAAATTTTAATAACTTTCTATATAATATTTTTTAAACATTTTATATAATATTTTCTAATCTATTTTTTTAGTAAAACTTTATTAGTGGTGTTATACCGAAGCACGCCTAACTGCTAGAGTAAATTCGCATCATCGGCAGCAATTGCAAGGCCCATCATCAATAACCATTTCTTTTTCAATCTCATTTGCTCAAACTTGTCTGCAAAAAAATGGCAGAAGCACTTGTTTCCACTCTCTTAGAGCAGATAACAACAATCATCTGTGAAGGAGCACTAGAGGAAGTGAGACTTCTGAAAGGGGTTAAGGATGATTTGAGAAAGCTCAAATTCAATCTCACATCCATCAAAGCTTTACTTGAAGATGCTGAGCAAAAGCAAATATCAGACAAAACTGTCCAGTTATGGTTAGATCGGCTGCAAGAAGAGTCTCTTGACATGGAGGATGCTCTGGATGAGTGGAGAACCGTACTTTTATATCGGCCAACTGATGGAGCTGAAAATGCTTCTTTTCTTCAGAGGAAGGTATGCCTTTTCTTCCGATGCTTTTCTTTTCGTCGTGTTTATAGGTACCATGGCATTGCTCACAGCATAAAAGGAATTAATGAGAGGTTAGATGAGATTGCTAAAGATAGAGTAAGGTATCAGTTAACAGATATGCCTAGTAGATTGCCAAAACGAAAAGAAAGCACGAGTTTTATTGATGGGTCAAGCTTCTTCGGTAGGGATGAGGTAAAGAAACAAATAATTGGCCACTTACTGCGTGGGACTAGCAAAGAAAGAGAGAGCTGTCAAACCATCTCTATAGTAGGGTTGGGAGGTATTGGTAAGACTGCTCTTGCCCAGTTGATCTACAATGATGAAGAAGTTAAACAACATTTTACTAGCAGAATCTGGGCATATGTTTCAAACGTTTTTGATGAGAGTAAAGTCGCAACTGCGATCATTGTAGCACTTGAAGGCTTAGATAAAGTAGCAGCCCTCCAAATGGAGTCACTTCCATCGAACGCTCTTTTAGAAAGAATTTGCAAGTCCATAGAAGGAAAGAAATACCTCCTTATCCTAGATGATGTATGGACAGAAAATGATGAAGACTTTGGAGGATTGAATGTCACTTTCAAACGTGGTGCCGCAGGAAGTAGAATTTTGGTGACTACTCGTAAGCATACTGTTTCAAGAGTTATGGGGAGTTCTCACACTATTCATTTAGAAACTTTGGGCCGAGACTTATGCTGGTCCATTCTTAAGAAAATAGCACTAAGAGAAAGGGACCAAAAGACTTGTGAAGATTTAACGCCAGTTGGGTTGAGAATTGCGGACAAATGCAAAGGTCTGCCACTTGTTGCAAAGACTCTGGGAGGTCATTTACAGTTTAAAACTACTAGAAAAGAATGGGAGGATGTCTTGAATAGTGAGTTATGGGGGATGGATGTGGTACATAAGGATGTTTTTGTCCCTCTATTGTTGAGTTATTATGATCTACCATCACCAGTAAAACAATGCTTTAAGTATTGTGCTTCCTTTACTAAAGACAATCCTTCTTTTACTTGTCATTTGATTGCAGAGTGGAAGGCACAAGGTTACTTAGGCTTTAATGATGTTGATGATTCATTCTGGGAACTGAAAGGCTTTGAGTACTTAAAGTGCTTAGAGGCTCGCTCTTTCCTCCAAGTTGAAGATTTTCATCCTTTCTATGGTCAATATGCTAAGTATAGGATGCATGATTTGGTACATGACTTTGCTCTTTTTTTAACAAAGGGTGAATTTCTTGAAGAGGTGACCTCCAAAGGTGATAAAAGCATGAAGATGAACTCAGAAAGAACTTGTCGGCATTTGGCAGTAATACTTGAAAGCGGCCTCAGTTTTCCTGAATCCATTTTTGATGCAGAAAAATTGCGAAGTCTCTATATTTCTGCTTGTAAGGGTGGTGTTATCAGTGGTGGGGCCTTATGTAATTTGTTTACAAAAGCCCCTCGCTTAAGGGTATTGACCATAGAATACCCTAATTCAACTATTCCAGAAGAAATAGGGAACCTGTTGCATTTAAGATACCTTTGCTTGTATTCTAATCTTCATCTAAAAAGGTTGCCTAAAGCACTTTGTACATTACACAACCTGGAATTTTTACATCTGTACCGGTGTCTTAATCTAGAAAGATTGCCGAATGAGATGGGAAATCTAGTCAACTTGATGGTTCTTGATACCACAGCATGCTCCAATTTAGCTTGCTACCCGAAGGGAGTTAGCAAATTAACTCGTCTTACGCAATTATTAGGGCTCATTGTGAGAGTTGATCGTAACGATCCTGAAGAGTTCAGCATTGGAGATCTTGCAAACTTGAAACAACTTGCTGTGCTTTCTATGAAAATGGTGGGAAATACAATCAACTTGGAGGAGTCAAAAAAGGTGAAGCTGCAAAATTTGCAGGAGGTGAAAATTCTGGTGAATGAGGCTATAGCGGACGCTGATGAAGACACTATACTTGAATCCTTAAACATGTCATCTGTCCCTAGGTGCTGCTTTGATACGGACTTCCATTTGATTGGTCGATTCAGTACACCAAGAAATGAATAGTATGTACCCTCTTCAATTAATTAACTCCATTTTTGTCAAATATTAAAAATATTTAAATTACTTCTTCATATATGTATACTAATGATAAGCATTTTGTTATTGTAGCCAATACTGTGGCTTTTGAACAACTGGACCATAGAGTAATGGGATGCGTCTTTCAAACGTGTTACTTTGGTGGTGATCCATGATGAAAAGGTTGTTGGTGATGATGTGTGTGTGTGAAAGAAGAAAGGTGTAGGTGCTCCTTTTTACCTCTTTGATACTTCCACCTCGGTGGACATTGTGTGGTTTTTTTTGTTAATTATCTGGATAATTGTGTGCAGATACTGCTTTTCTTTTTCTTTTTCTTTTCTTTTTTTTTTTTTTAACTTTGACCATATAGGGTTGAATTTGGGTGTGCTGTAATGTACTATGGATTTAGAATTTTTTGTCTCTTGATATATTATAAAAATATATAAAATATTAATTAAAAAAAACAAAAATTCCAAACATTGTATT